ACATAAGTATAATTATGTTTGTTTTGTACACCTTTTAATTTATCTTTTAGACCTATAATTCTTTCGTTTTCTATAATTTACATTAACAAAGATGAGTGAAGAAAAGAATTGAGTTTTACCTGTACCTCATGTTTCAAACACATTCTCACGTTAAGGGCATCATATAAACAAAAAAAAAACCTGTAAAATGCTTACAATAGTGTTAATTCTATTGTCTGATATCACATGGTTATCGAATCGGAGATAAATATTCGTTTTATGGTGTTGGTGTTGTTTTCATTCTTTCATTTCTGGTTTTCATTCTTTCATTTCCCAAGTAAATTGCTCACATATTAATTAAGAAATTGGTTGAATTTTTGTTATTTTTACGCTACGTCTTTTATTTTATTTCAGGAAGAACAAGAAGAAGAACATAGAAGGCATTATGAGGCACTGCATGAGTATACCAACATTTTAAATAACTTACCCCTAAGCAATAGCGATAGGAGTATTGCAGATAGACTCAATTTTATTAAGACTGAAATACACAATCTAGTAAGTCGATCAAACATTTAGTATTTTTAAGGGAAAGTAGATTTTTGTCCGTCTCTGAATTGTTATAGTGTTAATATTTAAAGTTGGAGTTGTACCTTATCTTATATAATATAACCAGGGGCAGATCTAAAAATTATAATGGGTAGGGGAGGGGGATGCGTCGTACGAAGAATAAATAATAATAATAATAATAATAATAATAATAATAATAATAATAATAATAATAATAATAATAATAATAATAGACACACAACAGTTTTTGACATTGTCTATAATAGTATTTTCAGCCTTAACAATTATCTCAAGGGAGATTAGGCCCCCTGGTCACCTCATGAGCGGAAATATTGATATGCAAGGAGCCACCAACATTTTCTTTCCCCCGGACCCTTGGACTCGTCGTTACGCCACTGAATTTTCGTGTGCTTGCTGAACACGCGCGTATTCCTGTTTTGATTGGTTGGTAGGTTGTTTGATTGGCACTTCGGAAAGGTCTATTATTACCAGGGAACAATGAAATTTCACTGTTCCCTGATTATTACGAACTATGAATGAAGCAACACACATTCAATTCCTCCTCACAATAAATACCTCTTTTTGCTCTAGCAAAGGAATGTCAGTAAGGGATCGATAATTCAATCAGTAATTTATTGTGATAAAAAAACTGTGGTGGAAGATTATTAGGTATTTAAACAGTTGACAAAGGGGTTTTTTGTGTAGTACCACCTAATGTATTCAAAAGACATTGTTCTTACTACATTACTTTTTGCAATAAAAGTAATCAATATGTTAAGAATATAGAAATAAATCTTTATGTAATCAATTGTGTTCATGGAATATATAAACTGTTAATGATTGCCAAAATTCAGATTTTTATAATAGAAAGATAGCGCATAAATATTTTTAAAATATCTGAAGGCGCTTAAGAGCTGATAGAGGTAAGCGTGGTAGAAGGTGTGTCTAGTAATATGTACGCATATCTCGCCCTCACCGAGTCCTCCCATAATAGAAAGATAGCGCATAAATATTTTAAAAATATCTGAAGGCGCTTAAGAGCTGATAGAGGTAAGCGTGGTAGAAGGTGTGTCTAGTAATATGTACGCTCCCCCCCCCCCCCACACCCCCACAAAAAAGAAAAAAAGAGAAAACGCTCACATTCCTCATTCGCCTCCCCTCACTGGAAATGTTTGAAGCAAAACAAAAGTACGCTCAAGTAGGGTTAAGATCACCTTAGTTTTCATAATTGCTTTCTTTGTTTAATATTACCTTAAAACAGTGCTAAGTTTACTGTCTGATATCTCATACGCCTAATTAATTGATTTTTTTTTTAAAGATATACCGCATGGCGTTTGCGGTGTCTTTTTCATTCTTTCATTCTTTAAAAACATATCTGGTTGGAAGTACCAGTGGAGGTACCCAAGTAAAGATAGCACTTATTTTGTTGGACCGTTGGACCAGTTGGCGGATCCCAGTGGCATATACGCCCGCCCCCTCCCCAAAATAGCTTGCATCCTCCATTCGCATCCCCATGACTAGAAATGTTCGAGGCAAAACAAAAATGCGCTCAAGTTGTTAAAATCACCTTATTTTTCCAACTAGCTCCCCTCACATCTCCCCCTCACATCTCGCCCTCACCGAGTCCTCCCACTTCACCTCTCCGTATCCCGTACCGGGAGGTTAGTAGGAGGCTACACGTTCTGAAGCTTAGAGTTTAGTCATTTTGAGTTCACACTTGTTTATTGATATTGATTTTGCAGCTAAGGGGACGAGCACCCCATTTGGCACCCCCTGGATCCTCCACTAGGGATTAGTATAGGCTTTACATGATACCCATCGTATATAATTATGCATTATGTTTTTCTTTCAGGCAGTTGCTTCACCATCATGGGGTACATTTACACCACCTTCTACGACGGTAAGCAGTTTTGTTCAGAATCATCCTTCACATCTGGCGCCCGCAATCTTGGAGTATGTTCTACAAAAACTGAACAGTTACATAAATAATGGTTTATCCATTACTGTCCACAAATATACGCTGCCCAGCACTCCATAAACTAACTAATCCGTTTACCTATAATTGAATCCAGGACACCATTGTTAAACACTCAGTACTTATCCTTGATAATGTGTTAATCCAATTAATATAGTGAGATAACCTAACGTTAGTTTATCGAGGGCGGGTTGAGCTAATGAATCCCCAAGGTAGAGTTGGAACTTTATGTTAAGACATTTTGAGACTGTTGTCATCATTAAGCGCTGGGTCGGAGGATAACAACGACCGATTTCGATTCAAGATTCAAGATTCACTTTATTTTGTCTTAGGCCTACATAAAATGTGAAAGACCTATTTGTTTTCCTGGGTACAAGAATATCATATAGGCCTCTAAACTTAATTTAGGTCTGCTGCATAGTACCGTAGACACTTTGTAATCAATAGATGAATAATAACAGTGCTCCAATAGGACCATACTGTATATGATAATGTTAAGACACTTTGAGGCAGTTCTTGTCATAAAGCGGTTAAGGTCACGGACGGTATATATGACCTTAGACCTCTCTCTCACTCCATATAAATACGTACCGTATACAGATCTATAAACATATTCATATACATATGTATATAATCACATTTAAAGGCCTTTAAAGGATTTTTTAAAAAGATGACTAATAGTGTAAAATATTTAAGGCCAATATATTAAGCTATATTTAGGGCTATATATATTATGTATATGAACATATTATATATATATAGGCCTATATAATATATATATAATCACATTATATATATATATATATATATATCTAGATGTGTATAAGAGACAGTATATATATATACCAATAATTTCATTATTAGTTAACACATTAACGTGATGACGAGTGGTAAAAATGATCCTTAAAATGATATTTATATTAATATGGACCTATTTAAATATTTATTATTTATTTATGAGAAAACAAAGGTCGGAAATGTTGAGATAATTTGTTTTTCTACAGAATAGACCAACACACATTGTATTTTGAATGATAACATTACAAATAAATGCACTTGATATATTATGAATTGTTTCTATTTCTATCGAAATTGATAGAATCATTTTCAGATAGCTATACGGTATAATTACGTTGTCTTTAAGGCAAGCATTTTATTTATAAATTTCTTTCAATTTCTGTTGCTGAATGTCCCGATCAGTAGCCAGTACATTATGCGCGCGTACCGATTGAACCAATTTTCCAAAACACATTAATAATACCCATTCGCACGTGGGTAGCTTATAAACGCACAACATAAAGAATGCTTGGGCGGATGCAGATTTGGCGGTAGGGGGTGCGTGTAGGGCGCATATCTGTTTTGGAAGGTGGGGGATTCAACACCCACTATGGTTGGGGCTGAGACGCAAAAATTTGAGGAAATAGTACCTGTAGATGGCTGGAAATGACACTTTTATATTGTAAAATTTATCATCATCACATCACCATTACCGTATATAATCTGAATGAAGCGCCAACAAATTCACATGATCTTTTATCAGCGAATTTCGGAAACCACAGAAAGCTAATTAACGTGTGTGATGTATAATAGAAAATAAAACTTAAAAACATGGTCTTTGTATAGTATTTACTTTATAATGTATGCACTTTACCTACTTGGAAGCCGTGAGTCCACAACTACTTCAGTCCAACCATGGTTGGGGCTGACGTGAGAACATTTGAGGAAATAGTACCTTTAGATGGCCGGAAATGACACTTTTATATTGTAAAATAAAATTCATCATCATCATTATATAGTCTAACTGAAGAGCCAGAAAATTTCTCATGATCTTTAATCAGGGATTTTCGGCAATCACAGAGATTTGAATATGACAGAAGTACCATAGAAAATAAAACTAAAGAAACACTTTCTTTGGAGTATTTAATTTACTTGACCTACCTCAAATCCGTGAGGCCACATCCACCTCAACCCCACCATGGAGGCTGAGGTAAGAAAATTTGAGGAAACAGTACCTCTAGATGGCCGGAAATGACACTTTTTAAATAGTAAAATTCATCATCATCTTTCACTTCACCATTATATAGTCAAAATGAAGCGCCAACAAATTCCTATTATCTATTATTAGCTATAAAATAAGATGTACTCTGATTGTACAGCGCTCTTTCGTTAAAACCTGGGTCATTTATGCAGTTTAATTCAACAATTTTCAGGCATCTTCTTGACTCACGAAAAGTGAGAGTGAACCTTTCTCCTTAAAAACATGTAGTGGCGGGGGTAGGGAAACGTGTGTGAGAGACCACACCACCTCGCCCAAACATGGTTGGCGCTGGGGTAGAAACATTTTGAGAAAATTGGCCTCTGGGTGCCCGGAAATTGCACCCTCCTACCTTGTGGAATGATACGTTGTGGAATGATGTGAACATGTATCTACAAGAAGCGCCTCTTTACGGCTGCTAGGTAGTTCAACACAATGACGCTGCAAGTTATGGGTTATTCTCCTACCCTACCTTTATCTTAAAAAACATTACCAATAATTCACATCAGCAATACAATGCAACAATTATTTTTCTTCATACAAAGGTGGGGGGGGGGGGGGTTGCGATCGCACCGTCAGCCCCCCCCCCCCCCCACTGCATCCGCCCCTGGAATGTCTACTCATTTTAGATTTGATAATTAAGGGATTTACTTTAATACAGTACATGCGTTTACACAAACGCACTGCACATTAACACACTTTAAAATCCCTTTTAAAGACTAACTTAATATGAAGGTCACGAATATTAAGATAAACTTCATAATCTCTTTTGAATGACACAATTAATCCACCGCTCAGCTACTATCATTAAAGAGCTCTTGCATTGACCACATATTGTAATTAAATCATTCAATTGTGTTTATTAAAGTCATTAATGTATTCTGAAAAAAAAAATCCACATCCATTGCTACCCAAGGGTTGGATATATAGTAGTAGGCCTATGTAACCCTATTTACGTCTGCGCTCGCACCTTGTTAGAAAATGTAGACGGTCAACTAATACGTTATTCTCTCGTAACTATGCCACTTTAACGAGCGTTCCGTTTTCACTATTCATATTTACATACCGCTCGTGTTCGGATATTACATAGGCTCATTTACAGGTGAATATTGCCTGTGGCTAGATCTGATAACCGAGCTGCTGTCGCTTATCTTGATGAATATAAAGACAGAAAACGATGAGCATAACAAATCAGTGTGAATTATCTCTCTGGACTTGCAGATGAACCATGCTTGATTAGGAAGAACCCTGTAAAAATATACTATTATACGATTATCTCAACAGGTCCCGGATCATAAATCGTAGCGTGAATATTAATTCCACTAACCTCCCCTGTCGGTATATGAACGTTGGCTACATAGTGTTGTACTAACTGTAGCAAAATGAAAGGTTGCATTATTTTTGCTATATTTTCTAAAAATTGGATATGTTTTAGAATAGACATCACTGAATATAAAAAGTATGTGTAAACTTTTTTTCATGCGGAAGTGGGTGGGGGGATGTAGCCAACAATTTCAAAATGGCTGCCATTTTTAAACATATTATTACCAATAATTGTACTTTTATGACATTAAAAGATGCTAATACGCTAAATATTCTTTCACATAGGAAACAATAAATACAAAATAATATTTTACCTCAAATTTTCAAAATTCAAATCCAAAATGTCACCGGGAACGTCACAAGCTTATAATTCAAAGTAAAGTTCTAAATTTTGGAAATTTTGCCTGAAATTGAACAAGGGCGGATCCAGAATTTTTCAAACGGGGGGAAGGGGCATCTCTATTCTTTTTTTCCTTATTTCAATACATAGGCCTAACATTAATATGTACTGACATTTAAAAACAATATTGTCAAAACGCTATTTTGACACTTGACACACTCTTCTGCTGACTTTATTACGTTCAAACAGATGTTTGAACGTAATTAATTCACTGTGAAGAATATCTGTTGTTTCATGGGCTTAATTCAATGTGAATATTTACGGTAGTAGGATAACTTACCGTACTCGCACGAATAAGCGTCCGGGCTCTTAAAATGCTTTTTTTTTTTTTGCACTGTCTGAGTGTTTGATATTGACCTAAGAAGTATGTGATTTCACTCTGCAGGGGCGCTTATTCAAACGGGGCGCTTATTTGCGCGAGTACGGTAGAATAAAACGGTACATGAATTTGTTATATTATTATTATTATTATTATTATTATTATTATTATTATATTATTATTGTTGTTGTTTTTTGTTATTATTGTGATGAAAAATTAACACAAACAGTACACAAATAGGTCAATGAAGGCAAAATGGTTGTTAAACGAACAGACATGTAAAAATATTTATTTTATTTATTTTTTTTTATTCCCCGACGGAATGTACTCGTCTTCCCCGACGGGGGAGCTAGGTTTCCCCGACGAGGGGGATATAGCCCCCTCAGCCCCTCCCCCTGGCGCCACCATTGAGGGAAACTCTCCCGACAGGCAGGGCAAGACTTATACTTCGGCGCGTAGCGCCATCCGAGGACTGTTGTCAGCAGTAGATTGGGGAGGTTTAGGAGGTGCTTCCTAAACCTCCCCCGCCACTGCATCGATCGATGTGGATGAGGGATACGAGATCTAAAATTTGTTTCATTTAGCTGAAGATAGTTATCATCCTCCCTTTATTCCTAACCATTGACCATAACAAAAATCTTTATTTCATCATCAAAATAACAGAAATTCTTTTTTGGTCCGATGAATTGTGGCCAAGAAGGGGCATAAGTCTCCTCACACCTGCTGGTGCTGACTCTACGATGACTATATAGGCCCAATTTTCGGTGGGAGTGGTGCGTTTTGCGAGGGGAGCGAGCCTTAAGCGGTTGACCTGGGGCTGCCAGAACCCCGGCGGAGTCCAGCGGCAGAGCCCATGGTGAGGGCTTGGGGGAGCTGGAGAGGCCACCGGAAGTTCCGACAAATTAGCATAGTCTTATATGATGGATTTCTGAAACCCATAATTCGTGAATATTCTATTTAAATTTGCTTTCATTTGGGTGTTGTTAGGGATCTGAAGAAGTAACATTTTATGCCATATATCTGTAGGCCTACAGATAACATTGTTCATATGGATCAATCTGCAATCACTGGAGCTATCTATTTCAGGCCTGATAGGAAGCAAATAATTATTATTGGTCCGGCCAACGAGAAAAACCCCCAGGCCCTCCCCCAACTTTATCCAAGATAACGTGACTTACCAATGGCGGCGTCAGATGATCCAGATCTTAGCCCTACCATAGTTGGTGGGAAAATTTATAAAAAGGTAGAACCTGATGTCCAAAAATGGCCTATAGGCATTATTCATACTAGTTTTACCCAAGAGCAGAGGGGACATTAGGGGCAGATCTGAATTTAGGGGGTGGGGGGAGGGAGGTAAAACAAAATGTCCAAAATCCCCACAAAAAAGGAGTGGGGGAGGGGTCCAAAAATGTTGATTCCTAGACGGCGAGCTTTCTCGACTTCTGAGGAGTCTTTTAATGACTTTTAAGCTTCAAAATTCAAGCTTTTCCACTCTTATAAACGATCAGGTAAATTTTCTCATTCTTATTACAGTAAATATGGTACTATCATAGGCCTATTATGTGTGTACTGTTATGTTTCACACCGAAATGACCAGGCTACACAATACAGAATACAGAAACAAAATTGAGTAGTTGCATACGTACAATAACCCCAAAAAGAAAGGGGTCAGGGTCCTCACTTGGGAACGTTTTGATTTCTAGA